GGAGAGAGGAGCCAGATCTTCCAACTTCTCTACTCCAAGCAGCCAGCGTCACAGTTTAAGCTTATGTTGAGGGGAAAAAGAAGGCAAACTTACTTATATTAGATTCACAGTTGAAATTTTATACTAGACAAAAATTCTAGCAACTGAAATTAGTAGAAAATGATCACATGTGCCAAGATTTTATGAAGACTTATGAAAAGGAGATTCAATCCATCATGGTTGGAAGCTTTCACTAGAATAAAAATAAAATGATTTAGCGTTTATGCTCCTGTTGAGACGTAACCAAGCAATAAAACATAATAATACAAAGCACGCAGGATCTACTAAGGAGGCAAATGCACTAATCTAAAATCATAATCTTGTGGAATTTTTAAAACATTGAAATGTAAATTTTCATCCAGCTCCTCAGTTTTGATAAAGCATTGATTCTGTCAACTGTCTTTTTGGTTTAACAAAGTAAATGTGAACTTCCCTCAATCAGCGACAGTAAGATGGAGCCCTGAGACATGCTCTGCACTGATAGCTTGGAGCCTGTTTGGGATTCTCCCTCTGCTTCTCTCTCTCCCCCTCCCCTGCTCACGTGCTCTTTCTTTCTCTCAAAGTGAATAAATAAACTAAAAAAAAAAAAAAAAAAAAAAAAAAAAAAAAAAAAAAAGATCAAAAGTCTTCCAAGAGAAATTATATTTCAGAAATTCATCTAAGGAACATGGGTACCTCTAATCTAGGGACTTTGAGTTCTACCCTTGGGTCAAGCTAGACCAGTGGAAGTATACCCTCATTTATGAGTATACCCTCATAAATATATTTCCTATACAAATCTGTCACCAACCTTAACTTCAAAGTTATGTTCTCAGTCTTCTTTGAATTTATTATTAAAAACAGCTATAAAAAATTCTCTTCTATTTTTTGGTAAAAATATTGCTGGTATTATTCAATGCATTGCTCAGTATAGCCCCTCTCTGGGAAATGTCTTCATCAACTTAGTGGCAGAAAAAAATCTCTCTGGATGTGCTTTTTTTCTTCCAAAGATGAGAATTGTAAAACTTTCTAAGTTTCCTTTGTTTTCCCTGTTGCCAGGACGTTCAGAGCCATTTTCATCTCTATCAGAGCAAGTATGTCAAACGATATATAGAACATACGTGCATTTGTACTTTTTTCTTGAATTTTATCCCTATTTTATCAATTTATTGTATGTGTGGGGGAATGTCTACTTGTAGAGATTCATATCCCAGAAAGGGTTTGCTTCATATCCCAGAAAGGGTTTGTTTAGAAGACTGAAAGCTGATCTCCTAACATGAAATCAATTAACCTTAAAAATGTTTTTCAAAGACTAATTGCAAAAAATTGTTTTAAAAGAAAATGGGTCCAAAAATCTTCATTCATTCACTAGTGTAACAACACTGACTAGTCTGTATTGTATATTCTAACAAATTAAACAATGAAAAGATTGTTTTAGCTTGTTATTGTGCATTAATTATAAAAACTCATGTCTTGTTTTTACTATAAGCATCATTAGGTATTGTAAAGCTTAGTAAAACCTCACATCAATGCCCAGAAAAATTATTCCTAGCATCATGAAGATAGTTGTACCAGATGCAGAACATCTCATGGAGGAATTTATTTTTTCATTTTATAATACTTTTTATTTGAAAGAATTTGCCTTCTTTGTGTACACTGGAATGTTATATTCTCTATGTATTTTACAGGAATAAAAAACATGTCTCATTTTAAATATTATCCCAAAAATAATTTAAGGGAGAAAAAGTTTTTGTGAAACTAAACTTTAAAAAAATCCTCTGGGTAAGAACCTCTCAAACAAAAGACTGATAATAAAATAATCTAGATTAATAAGATTTCTTGCCTACCTAACTACATGACAGGTTTCTTGTCCTTCCCCTTCCTCAAACACCTCAAAAAACATGCAGAAACCAAGCTAGAGATAAGGATTCTTCCCTGATACAGGTAATGCAAAGGGAAGGACCAGAAATTTCTTTGGCAAACGATTCCATCTCTGGCCATTTGTGTGTGGCTGCTTTAATGCCAGGAACCCCACGAAGTGCAATACTGGGTTAAAAGCCAACCCTGGGCTAGCTGATGGAGTCTTCTCTGTTGAAAAAGTAGTGGATGAGACAGGCTGAGAAACAACCATCACATAGTGACACTCGATAGGAAAGTCTTAGAGGCAAAAAAGGAAGGGTTTCACAGACAGGTACAGATAGGTTAATGAAAAACAAATCACATTTTGGTTAAGAAAATAAGACAGAAAAAAGGAGAGTCGGTGATCCAGCAGCATTTTTACATGATCTCCTTACTGAGATAGAGTCCAAAGGTTAATTATATTGATGTTCTTTGTTTTCTCAGCTTGAACAAATTAAGGTGCATGAGTAGCTTCAAAACAATGCATGATAGGAGGAAATGGAAACACAACTGACAATAGCTGTGTGTATTCTGATAACTCGCTCATTCACGGGTTTAACATTAGTCAATCTGTAATGCTAACCCAATAAATTGACCAATAAAAGGATTGCTTTAGCATTACAGAGACGTAACCTAGGTATAATTTTGAGGGCTTCCATAAATTAATTATATTATTATGCATAAACATCCATATATTATCAGGCATAAAAGAACTTGACTCAAGCTAGGGGATATTTAAACAGTGATAAAAATCATCCATGAGTAGCCATGCTGGCACTATACTTCTTCAGCATACTCATGCTTATGGCTATTAGATGCCTCATTGCTATGACATTGCTAAGTATAGGAAGGACTACGGAAAAGTTTGTTGGCTGGTAAAAATACCTGTGGTTCAAGTTATTATTTTACTAGTTATGCAATGTAACGTATCTATTGTGGGTTTCCAAGAGACTCAAGTTGACAAATATATTTCATCTTGACTCTGCCTCCACCTGGCACAGAAGGACACAGGGAAGACAGACTGCTCTGATCTCAGTCATGAAAAGGAGGGTAACTCATTGAATACATCTTCTTTATGCCACAGTTTAGGGCAAAAGGATCACAAAATAAAATTTATGATTTTAGGAAAACAGCAATGGAGAAAATAAATATTTGAATAAAAGACAAACTTTTGCTCTAAAATCCTTTTTCCACCCTCTCAGATATCAATTAGCTTAAAAATGATTGACTTTGCTTTTGTACCCTACCTCTAAGAATAACTGTTAAGGAAATGCTTAAATACATGAAAAGCTCTATTTGGTGGATAATTTAATCTAATGTTTTATTCCTCCCTCTTTCTCTGTCATTCTTCAAATGTCTACTGAAGTATAAGCAGTATCATGAAATTTGATGACACATACAAATACTCTCTGAGTAGACTGAATGAAGGTCATTAATACAGGAAGGGTATACTTAGAATTATCTTTTGGTTGATAACCACTCATCCTCTATTCACATATCCTTAATCTCTGGTTTCCTATAATTCTAGGATTTATCCATGGGTTTTTAAAAAATCATGAAGCCCTCTTATTTTTTGCATCTACATCTTTAGATGTACATAACCCTAAGTTTACACGACCATTGGACCTTATAAAGAATTTGAGTTGGAATCTGGATTTTAGTAAAGAAAAAAGTCATGAGATTCTGGTTAAAATGAGTCTGACCTGGTCTTGGCCCAAAGTTATACTAGAGAGGAAACTTTTTTCTTTTGAAAGCAAGAGTATAGTCAATATTTTCACAAAATATGAAATAAAATAGAATATAGCATTATTAAGCCAGTATTAACATTTTATTAATGAGGATTTCACTTTTTAAAGGCTGTGTAATAGGACAACTTAATCTCATAACCTGGAAGTTTTTACTTCATTATTGTTGCCTCTTTATTTTTGGCTAAATTGTACTTTCAAGTGAGTAGACAAAAACCTGATACTATAACTTCAAGTAAATATACATGCTATTCTTCAGTGTTAAGTGATCTATTGGGCTGAATAAAAAGGGTAGATATGATGGTCTGTCTAGTCCCTAGAACAGTTTGCCCCAACATAGAGGTTTCTTGGGTTATTGCTAGAGAATGATTCCAGTTCTTGGTAGCCTTACTATGGATCCCAATTTCTGCATCTGTTTAGATAAGCCAGTGGCTAAATGGATGTTTGGTAATATTAAACAGTACCAATCTGCCTTCTGTATGGTGATTTTTAGGACTGGTCACACATACCCTCTTCCTCTTTCCTTTCTGTCCTCTTTCCATGCATATTTTTGAGATCCCATACATGTTAAGAACGGGGTACTGCCTGTTAAGAATTCAGCCCAGTGGAGTTGAGATATAAGAAAACAAAAAATTCTAGCTCAATACAGTAAGTGCTATGATACCATGAAAGTTCAGATGAGATACACCTAATGTCATTTATGGGGATTAGAGAAGGCAATTTAAAGATTATACCTGACACAAATACACAGATATTTGTATATACATGTATGAAAACACATTTTTTAAATACATCACTTCCTTTGCAGAAGTAAGACAGTAATGACTGTGTTGGCTGATATGCCTTTCTCCAGTATAATGAAAGACATATACTATCTCAATTGGGGGTGAATGTCTATAAACTACTTGCTTTTTCTAGAAGAATGATGCCACATAATTTTAAGGTATTAATACTTTTTTAATCTCTACTATATTTTCAACAGATGACTTACAGTCAATACCAAAGGAGAATTTTCATTATATGCATGGTAGAGTGGAAAGCATGTTAGACAAATTAAAAAATATAGCTGTTACTCCTGGGTTGGTGGGTCATAAACAATGTGATTTTGACCAAATCATTTAACTTAATTAAATGATTCTTCACTGAAAACATGAGGAGGCTGAGCAATATGATTTAAAATTTCTTCCTAGATTTAAACTTCTGAACTTTACAAAACTCCTGGTGCACGTTAACACTTTTAAGCTATTATGATCTTAAGGCAATAACTTTTAAGTTTCCACTCTTAGAAAGTGCTTATAAATTATTTATGTTCTCATGCTCCCTATAAAATTGACTTAGTCCTGCTCCCCATACAAACAGTCCCCACTACACTTGCCAAGACCCGTCAGACTGGTTCTATTTACATCATTAGTGACTTCTTTCTTCACCTCAATCCAGCCCATGAAATTGCTGATATAGTCTGGATGCACACACTTGATTGCAGACCTGGTCTCCACAGGGCTCTTCCCTGCTGGTCAGCGATGTATCGGTGAGTTCCTTTTTTCTTTGTCTTAAATTAACTTGTAGTTCAAAATGGCATAAACCACACCACAGAATGTGTAGATCTCTAATTTATTATTTGTTTAAGAAAATATTTTTGATTTTAACATAAAATTATGTCAAGAAATACATTTCTCTTCTTTCTGCATTAGTGTTCCCTGGGATGTAAGGCTTCATCCCCAAATATTTTTGTATATATTTTCAGATGGATTTAATAAATGATAAATGTAGATGGGGTTTGACAGCTGTCTTTTAGTTAACTGGTTAGTTAGTTTCAAGAATAGAATGTGTTCTTAGCTTGGGCTTTGTGTTATTGAGAAAGTATTCTTATTTTCAAAGGTATACGTGAGAAAAAATAAATCTGAAATCATGCAGTTCAAAATTACATTCATTTCTAGAAGTAAATAATTTAAATTTCAAAATTATAGATGTTTTGAAAGAAAAAAAATAATTTAAGGAGACAGTCTGATCAAATTATTAGAGTTGGATTTAAAAAATAAATCCAGTGATATACCTGGCCACAATCACTTCTCTAACAGATAAATCATAATTATTTTGAAGTTGTTTTCATTCAAAGTTAGAAACTAAACAGTAACAAAGTTTCTATGTACTAGTTTGGACTCTGAAAAATAATTTTATCCTCAGATTAAGATTTTATTTTCTCTAAGTGATATATTGGCATGTCATTTTTTTTTTTTTTTTTTTTTTTTTTTTTTTTTTTTTTTTTTTGATTCTACTTTGAGAAGGAAACAGTTCGGAAAAACTTCCGGTAGAATCTTAATAGGGGCAAACACTCAGTCTCTGTCATTGATAGAAAGCTCCACATACTTATGAAAAGTTTAATACTCTTCTATACACATTGATGAAGCAACTAAGAGCTACAGACATAAATTTAGTCAGACTTCAAGGCTCCCTACCTTTTGCAAGTACTTCCCTATAATCCATGATGATTCTTCTGTCCTACACTTTTTACTACATTATCTTTAAGAATATTACTGTAAAAAAGAGTGCTTTTATTTAAACATATAATCTCTATCAAACTTAAGGTACTAAATAGATTTCAGACTTTGTCTATGCTAGATATGAGTGAGTCTAGAAATTGTGTAGAGGAGCTATAACATGGGGGTATTGGAATGCATTTTTCTGAGTAGAGTCTTTAATTTGAAGGAAAAGATGTACCTATTTTTTGGTCCTACTTCAGAGAGGAGGGAAGATATCTCTCAGGAAAAAACAAAATAAACAAACAAAAAACTCCTCCCTGATCTAAAACTGTAAAAAAAGGGGAGCATATCTATGTTTGTCAGCCTAGGAGATGTTAAGAGAATGGGCTAGAGTGGAAAGGGACTAAATTTACTATGCACATTTGCACCAACAGGAAGGCTTTGAAGAAAGAGGTGTAACTGAAATACGTTCTTTCTAAGGACATTGGTTCATAGCTGGGCAAACATATAAGAAACACTGGAGGGTTTTATCAAATGTCACATTCCTTCCTCGCTAGCCAAATTTCTGAGAGCCCCCTCCCTCATTGCACCTGTTCTAAATGAGAACCACTATTTTAGAATTTAAAAGTAAAAAGGAATTTGGACTAGGTAAATGTTATTTTTCATACGCTACCGTTTCCCCCAAATTCTTATTTTATACTATCCTTTGAGCACGAAGAGAATAACCCATGGATTTTATAAGCACACACACAGAGAGCAGAAGGTTAAAGAAAAATTTACTAGGAATAAGTTCATAGGGAAGAGATTGGGAAGAGAAGAATATATTTATTAAATATATTTATTTTTGATGGGATGTACGCTAACTGTAGTTATCTGCAACCACTGATAAGAATGAAAGATAAACAGACTGAATTTATAGACAGTATCTACACAAATTTAGATGCACAAAGGCGAAATGAGTAATATTCAAATTAAAAAAATGGACTTTAGTTTTTACTCAGTAGGGTGAGAACTACCTCTCAGTTTGTGTGTGGCCCATGGACCCTTTCCATTAAATTCAATGGGGGCTTATTAAAAATAGAAAAGCCCAATTCTCATCCTAGAAATTCTCATCAATCTCTGGTTGAGGCATGGGAATCACATTTTTTAAAAGTTACACCAGGTAACTCTTATTCACTCTAAAGTTTGAGAAGTACTGATTACAGTGTAAAGCTATAAAAAAGAAAGGAACTTGTGAGGTGGAATGGAATTAAAGCACAAATGAAATAGGTCAGCTTTTAAGAGAGCTGTAGCCCTTTGTTTTATTTAAATTGGTATAATTATATGATAATGGGAGGTAATCTCTCCCTAGTCACTTTTCCCTCCAAGGGAGAAGAGTACTCATTTATGCAATGTAGTGATGATGATTAAGGAAGAGAGGATAATTTCAGAAGGTAAGGGAAACTGAAGGGTGGATACAAACATGATTTGGGTAGTTTGTGTCCAACAGGGAGGGTCTTAATATGGATCAAAAATATGTTTGTTTAGAGGGAAACCTTAACGTAAAATCAATCAAGCATATCCCCCTCCCCCACCCTCTAACCCAAATCAATTCAGAGATAGTGATACTGAAAGGTCACCAAATTGAGGTTTAGGCCCAGAGTTGCTATGGGATCCTGAAGAAAGAAAACTATCTGTTGAGCACCTATTATGTATTGTACATTTTCTAAAATACTATCTTATTTAATTCTGGAAATACCTTGAGAAACACTTATTGAGTGGCACCTGGGTGGCTCAGTTTGTTGAGCGTCTGACTTTGGCTCAGATCATGATCTCCCAGTTCGTGGATTTGAACCCTGCGTGGGGCTATGTGCTGACAGCTCAGAGCCTGGAGCCTGCTTCGGATTCTGTGTCTCCTTCTCTGTCTCTATCACTCCCCACTTGCACTCTGTCTCTGTCTCTGTCTCTCTCTCTCTGTCTCTGTCTCTCTCTCGAAAGAAAAACAAACAACAACAAAAAAACCACACAACTTCCCCCTCTCCCCAAATTATTGTGATTGCTCCTTTAAGAGTTGAAATAAGTGTGGCTCAGATTGTCCAGGGTTAGTCAATATTGAATCAGGTAAGAATCTGATCTTGGCCTTCTTGGCTCTAAAGTCTATGCTGTTACTGCCATAACACATTGTCTATCATGTGCGGGGAGCTAAAAGAAGAGTCTTTGGGAAGTTTGCATTCTAATAGAGAAAGGGAAAACATGCACACACACACATATACAGATTGGAGAAAATGTGCATGTATGTGTAGGCATATATGGCTATACAATGTCCTAGGCAAAGAAACAGATCGTATACAGATTGATATGAGATAATGTACACAAATGCTGAAGGAGGAAAGGTGGTGGCATGTATTTTACTTTCATTGGTACATTTTTAGAAACATTTTAAAGAATGCATGGACTGCCCTGATTTAATTTTCTTAAAACTATCTTTGTACTAAAACAAGATGAAAATGTGACCTAACTTTTCCACACTGTTTCAAAGGTGAGCAGTGACTGAGAGTATAATACCTCAATCACATCATCACTGTTTTCTAAAAAGGATTACAACATTTGCTATTGCATGAAAATCAAGTTCAATTCGAGCAGCATACCATGGAAAGAAGTCACCTGTCTGTTGTAACTATAACTGTCTCAATGGACCTTTGTTATTTTTTTCACTGTTGTCGGCTTTCCTCCAAAAATATGCCACTGTTTCAATACAAAGAGGGAATAAATAGAAACATTCAAGAAAAAAAGCAACATCGTGTGCTTTAGTATCAGCATTGAGCTTTATAAGTATGCCTGATGGCTTTAGTAATCGAGAATGGGGTGAGTTGGGTAGCTGTGGAGCAGGTCTTCTAAGACAGAAGGTGGTGAAATGGGTGCTCTGGCTGCTTTCCATGGCTTTGTCAGCATTAGGATTTAGAGGAACTGCATGAAGAACTTCATAAAGCACACTCCTTTGGGCATATTCTCATCAAAGACGGTGGGTGAGAATTAGGAAGAATGCCCTCACAACTGCAAGCATAATTTAATACATTTGAAATGAGTGGATTAGAGAATAGGAAAGTATTAAGAGGTTGAGAAAAAAAAAATGGGTTGCAGAGATATCAAGTTATGCCACAATCTGCAAGCCCGAACTTCTCCCACTTACTTACATGGCCTGTGTGGTTGGGCAATTTGTGAGACTTTTAGAATAGTAGCTCTGAAATAATAGAACTAAACTAGGGAAATCAGAAGTACCATACATCATCACTAAATTCTCTCTTGCAATCTTTTGTCTGAAGATGTCAGGTGATGTCTCTTTTTTGAAGCTGCAAAAGGAGATACAGAAGAATTTGGCACTTTGTTTCAAGTCAACCTGTGAGTCAGCGAAGAACAAAATAATAATTGCCATCATTTGTTTTACATGTCCTATGTGCCAACTACCGTTTTAAAATATCATGAGTATTTAATCTTTATAACAACCTATGATTATATTATTATACCCATTTTATAGGTGAAGAAATTGAGGCTCAGTTGGTAACATTATTTGCTCAGAGGTAACACATGGCAGAACTGGGAGTTAACCTAGGTCTATCTCTCTCTAAACCTATGCTATTAACCACAATGTTGTACCATCCTCCCGTCGCCTGTATCTACCACAATGGTTCTACAGCAAGGATGATTTAACTGTCTCATTGTGTCAAAAGCTATAAAAGCTATAATTATAAGCAACAGTGTTATTATTCAATGGGTAGTCTTCTCAGTTTTCCTCCTGGTAGACAGGCAGCATTGCTGTCTGTGTTCTATAAAGTAGGGGATTCAATGTTCAAAGATTAGGTAATTTGCATGTGGTTACAGGAATGGGTGAGTCAGTCAATAGTGGAGAGAGGATCTGTTTTTCCTGTTCACCTGTAAACTGAATCCAATATTGTCAAGTAGAAGAGTTAAATTAACACAGGTGTCTACATTATCTAGGAAATACTACTGTTATTATTATTATTTCCATTTGAATATGTACAGAAATATATGACCTTTTAAAAATTAGTTG